TTTATTTAAAAAAAGGAAGTCAGTTTATTTCTTTGTGGCCGTTGCTGATCACGAAAGCCTAACCATCTGGCTTCCTCTACACCCTGTGTAGACCTGATCCTACCCATCACCGGTGTTTCTCCCCAGCAGCTGGTCCCCACCCCAGGCTGAACAAGCCCTGTGTGTGAAGGAGCCCAGAGCCCTGGGGTCAAGCAAGGTGCTTGAAGGCAACTAGCATCTTGGGCCTCGGTTTTACAGATCACATACATGGGAACCCACCACAGGCAACTCCCAGGGCCCCATTGTATTGTTTGCAGAAGTGCTGGTGAACACAGCAGCTCCCACACGTGGCCGACAGAACCTCTCTGAGCACGTCCCTGCTCCCACTCGCCCCAGAACCGTAGTCAGGCTGTTCCTTGGCCTGGGCGGGGCTCCTTCCCAGCCCCAGGGTGGGGTCAGGCCTCCCACTATTTGTGTGTGCAAATGTGTGTACACACGTGTGTGAGTGCACATGTACATAGTTACACATTTGTGTGTGCATGTGTTTGTGTGTGTGCAGGTGCAGAAACTCCCTCTCGTACCCTGACCTCCAGTGATTGCACTGGAGGGGTACTTCTTGGGCCCTTTGTGTGTGCATGCATGTGTGTGTGGCATGCATGTGTGCACATATGTATATAAGAAAAAAACTAGAGGAATCACTGCAAAATGTTAACAAAGAGTGGTCGCCAGGCTTTGGAATTCCGAGGTCTTTGAGCCTTTCCTGCATTTCTTCCTGCTCCCTGAGGTTGCTGTCTGCTTCAGCAGCCCATCCAGATTTCGGGGCTGGTATGTGGCAGAGCTGTTATCCACCTCACCCCGCCCTGTCCTGTCGGGGCTCTTGCCTCTCCCTCCTTTCTGCTCTGTTCCTCTGCAGGTTGAGAACTTGCATTGACTGTGCTTGCCTGGTGTCGTCATGAGACAGTGGCTTCATAGCTAGTTTGTTGCATGTGTGTGGAAGTAGACCACTTCTTGCTCCTCTAGGAAGCCTTGGCCGTTCTTACTACAACATAAAACTGCCCTTGCCTAAGCGGCATCCTTCTGATGTGGCACTTCTCAAATCTGAACCTGGCCTGCCCGCTTGCAGAGGGGTGCTGGCACTACAGATAAAACCCAGGCCCCTAGGGCACAGGCCCCAGGAATGGTTGCAGTGGGATTTTTGCTGTTCATAGCTCTAAGTACAGCTGCTCACTGACAGCCCAGCAGTGCCGGTTTCCAAAGTTAACAGCGAATTTATGTGTAAACANAACACAGCAGCTCCCACACGTGGCCGACAGAACCTCTCTGAGCACGTCCCTGCTCCCACTCACCCCAGAACTGTGCTCAGGCTGTTCCTTGGCTTGGGCGGGGCTCCTTCCCAGCCCCAGGGTGGGGTCAGGCCTCCCACTATTTGTGTGTGCAAATGTGTGTACACACACATGTGTGAGTGCACATGTACATAGTTACACGTTTGTGTGTGCATGTGTTTGTGTGTGTGCAGGTGCAGAAACTCCCTCTCGTACCCTGACTTCCAGTGATTGCACTGGAGGGGTACTTCTTGGGCCCTTTGTGTGTGCATGCATGTGTGTGTGGCACGCATGTGTGCACATATGTACATAAGAAAAAAACTAGAGGAATCACAGCAAAATGTTAACACAGGGTGATCGCCAGGCTTTGGAATTCCGAGGTCTTTGAGCCTTTCCTGCATTTCTTCGTGCTCCCTGAGGTTGCTGTCTGCTTCAGCAGCCCATGCAGATTTCGGGGCTGGTATGTGGCAGAGCTGTTATCCACCTCACCCTGCCCTGTCCTGTCGGGGCTCTTGCCTCTCCCTCCTTTCTGCTCTGTTCCTCTGCAGGTTGAGTACTTGCATTGACTGTGCTTGCCTGGTGTCGTCATGAGACAGTGGCTTCATAGCTAGTTTGTTGCATGTGTGTGGAAGTAGACCACTTCTTGCTCCTCTAGGAAGCCTGGGCCATTCTTACTACAATATAAAACTGCCCTTGCCTAAGCGCCATCCTTCTGATGTGGCACTTCTCAAATCTGAACCTGGCCTGCCCGCTTGCAGAGGGGTGCCGGCACTACAGATAAAACCCGGGCCCCTAGGGCACAGGCCCCAGGAATGGTTGCAGTGGGATTTTTGCTGTTCATAGCTCTAAGTACAGCTGCTCACTGACAGCCCAGCAGTGCCGGTTTCCAAAGTTAACAGCGAATTTATGTGTAAACACCACGTGATTGGTCACAGTTCTTTCAATAAATGTCAGAAGACAGCTGTGACCTGTGCACAGACCGCATGGGTTGAGTCCTAATTGCCACTGGCCGGCTATGTGGCCTTGGGCAAATTACTGACCCCCTGGGCCTCTTCCCTTACCTGTGAAAGAACTAGGATGCTGCCTAGTACAAAGTCAGCGCTCACTGTGCACCAGTGCTTTTGGGATCCCACTCAGACATCACCACTCAGCAGGATTCTTCAAAGCTGGCTGTGTTCCCACTGGTGGCATTCACCCCCATGGCCCTAGGAAGGCAGGGTGGGAAGAGACTGGGGTGGGGCAGGAATCAGCCAAGAGGGTGCAACCTTCCAATTTCGCAGAGGATTGGCATGGTGGCCACTTGCCTGCTGCCTGGCAGTGCTCAGTGAGACGGACATGCCCAGGAGGCTGAGTGTTGGTGGATGACATGGCAGAAGGACCAGGAGCCACCAGCCTTGGGCTTGGTGGGGTCTCTGTGTGGCCCTCCGGAGGGGAGCTGCCGGATTGCTCCAAACATAAACTGAGCACCGCCCAGGCCTAGGTGAGACCCCACTGTGGGCTCCAGGCTCCCTCCACCCTGGCTGGTCCCGTTTGTCTACAATCACAAGATAAAGGTGTCCCCTTTATTTAAAAACAAACAACAAACAAAAGCCAGCAATTTGCTGTCCCCAACTGCTGCAGTATCTGTCTGTCAGCAAAGGCCCATCCTGGATGCCACTTCTCCCAGAAGCACCCTCACACCGCCCTCCACTCCACCCCTCAGGGAGGGTCCTTCCTGCCTCTTCCAGCTCCTGGTGACTCCAGGTGTCCCTTGGGTGGTGGCCACATCACTCCAATCTCCACCTCTGACTTCATGTGGCTTCTTCTCTGTGTCTTCTCTTGTAAGGACACTTGTCACTGGATTTAGGGCCCATTCTGATCTAGATGATCTCCTCTCAAATTGGTAATCACATCTGCGAAGACACTTTTTTCTCCATGAGGGCACACTCACAGGTTCTGCTGAGGGCTTTGGGGCACCATTCAACCTACCGCAGTCCCAGCACTGAGCCCAGTAGAGTAGACTCCACACAAGGTGCCAGGAGGACTCTAAGGGTGTCTCCCTGTGTCCCCATCCAGCGACTCTCTGCATCGTGGGGTGGGCTGGAAGCGAGGCTGTGGCCAGATACCTCTGGGCCTGTGGATATACTGCTGGGTAGCCAGCCCCAGGTGTGACACTGGCAGGCAGTGCCCCCCACCCCTTTGAGCACAGAACACCTTGTGTTTCTCAAGCCTCTTGGGGGTGTTGTGTCCCCTGGGATGAATCTGCTTCTGAAGACACTGGTACCCTTGTTGGATGTGAATACCAAGTGGCCCAAGATAGACATGTCACCTCCCTACTCCACCCCCATCCCAAAAGGTGAAGAGGCATGAGGGTCCTCAGGCTGCTGTAACAGGGGATCACAGACTGGGGGCTCGGACAACAGAAATGTACCGCCTCCCAGTTCTGGAGGCTGGAAGTCTGATCTAGGCTGTGCGGGAGTTGTTCCTGCCTCTCTGCTGGGCTTGTACATGGGGTCTTCAAGTTTACACGGCATCTCCCTGAGTGGACCTGGGCCCAAATCTCCCTTTTTTTGTAAGGACACTGGTCAGAGTGGATGAGGACCCTCCTGGAGACCAGAATTAACCTCCTCGAAGGCCATGTCTCCAAAAACAGGTGCAATCTGAGGACTGGGGGCTAGGGCTGCAACGTATCTTCTCTTGGGGGAACGCAGCTCAGCCGTGACAAGAAGTGCTAGGATGGGAAGTGTGTGGAGGTCCCAGCAAACATCTCCTACCGTGGCAGCTGCATGACCATCAGCCACCTGATTTCTGGTGGGAAAACCGGCTACTGTGGGTTCCTGGAGGCGGGGGGCATTTGCAGCATCTATTTACCTGCAAAATGTGCCTCCTTTTCTAAAAATAGATGGGAAGGGTGAGGAGATGTGCCCCAGAGCCGCGATCGGCTGTGATCACTCGATCACTCAATAGGCAGGTCTCCTTGTGGTGAGCGGCTGGGATGGGTGGGCTGCAGAGGCAGCGGGCCAGGCATGTGTCCTGGTGACTGTCCACAGGGTGTCCGAGTGCAGCTCGCATCAGCATCTGCAGAAACCTGCGCGGGCAGCGAGCACGGCTGTCGCAGAGCAAGGGGTTGATGGCCCCAGGGCCCTTTCCCATTCCCCACATCCTCCAAACTCTGGACCAAGATGTATTTCTTTTTCGTGACCAAAAGCCGCCAGGGTATGAATTTAAGGCAGAATTGGTTGAGGTTTGAGTTTGAAGTGGAGACTCCTCCTTTGAGTTAGTCAGGGCATCACAGCTGCATGTGGCAGAGCCAGGCGATGGGGGGAGTGCAGGTCTCGGTGACCCAGGGGCTGGCATGGGGCTGCCTTGGTCCTGCTGCGTCTCAGCTCTGCTCTCTGTTTTGTGGCCTCCTCAGGCGGGCTCTGCCCTCGCTGCAGCCCCTGAAGCCACATCCCTGAAGAAACAACCTCTCTGTCTAACAGTTCTAACAAAATGGCTGGAGTCGAGTCCCCACGACCAGGCTGGGGCATGGGCCCACCTGGCGGCTGAGCCGTGACCTGAGACATGATGCCTGAGTGGGGGTCTCGCCAGATGCTGCCCTGGATTTGGGGAGGGGGCTGGTCAGGGAAGGTTGACACCACCAGACTCGAGACCAGGCAGAAAAATGTCCATGTCAAGATGTCAGCGTGTTCACCGATAGATGCAGGTTCGCTATCCAGAAATTCTTCCTGCAGAATAAACCGGGCCATCTGCACACCCCCTCAGTGAGTTCCGCTGCTGTCCCCACCTTTGTTCCCACTGCACTGCTGAAGCCACGAGGTCGTGACACCGCCAGGCACAGCGATGCCCCTGCACTCAACGGGGGACAAACCCTTCGTTTCAATGCCGCCACTCACCTTCCCCAGCCCAACATCAGCCGTTGAAAATGGGTTTGTTCACACCCTGCCCAGCAGAAAGGAGTTCCCAGGCTCGCCCCTGAGCCCTGGTTCCCTGAGATCTGCTGCCCACAGCCCCCTGGACTCCTGCAGCCAGACCCTGTGCCAGCCCCAGGCCGAGAAGTGCGACCCCCAGGCGGCCCACGAGGTGCACTACATCTCAGCAGGGCCGCAGGGCTCGGCATGCGGCTGGCGGGCCTTCACACCCAGGTGCCTGCAGGTCTTCAACACGCCCAAGGGCTTCCTGTTCTTCCTGTGTGCGGCCTCGTTCCTGCAGGGCATGACGGTGAACGGCTTCATCAACACTGTCATCACCTCCATTGAGCGCCGCTTCGACCTGCACAGCTACCAGAGTGGGCTCATCGCCAGCTCCTATGACATCGCCGCCTGCCTCTGTCTCACTTTTGTCAGCTACTTCGGGGGCAGCGGGCACAAACCCCGCTGGCTGGGCTGGGGCGTGCTGGTCATGGGTGCCGGCTCGCTGGTGTTTGCGCTGCCTCACTTCACCGCCGGCCGCTATGAGGTGGAGGCCGACCAGGGGG